CTCCCTCCCTCCCTCCCTCCCTCCCTTCCTTCCTCTCTCCCTCCCTTCCTTTCTTCCCTCCCTCTCCCTCCCTCTCTTCCTCCCTCCTCCCCTCCCTCCTTCTCTACCTCCCTATATGGTTTACAATACTGTTACTGAAAGGTTATCATGTATATCCCTTTACTTCCTTTAGCACTCAGTTCTAGTCTGGAGTGATCATTTCCAACTATAATTGTCATAGTGATTCCTTCTCTGTCCAGTGATTTGTTTTTCAGGAAAACAAAAGTTCATTCTAAAATGGCAAAAAAGAAAAACCCAACCAACCACCAACAAAAGCAACCCACCCTTAATTAAGCAATAGTGTCTTGTGGTTTAATATACTAAACCAAATACTCCCTTAGGCTTAAAATGTAAATGTTAATTAGAGAATAAGATAGAAATCACAAGGAAGGTCAAACACTAATTTATAGGAAATGAGCACCTCTTTTTTTGCCCATGAAATTATTATTTACAGTTTAAATGTGATACTAAGAGGGGAACTAGGACAGGTTGGTGGATGCTGGCACTCTGGTGGTGGGTGTGGTATGCAACATCATATTCCTGGAACATTAATAGTAACATTGTTCTCAATCATTTTGCCAAAGCAAAAATTAGAAAATTTAAAAAACAGTTGCCTTGGTGTGGTGGCCCCAGTAAGGTGTGGGCGTGGCTGCTGCGGCTTCGGCAGTGTGGGGACTTGGCCAATCACCCTCCTGAAGGTGCCCCTGAGACTCCAGCTAGCAGAACAATGTGCCCATGGATTTTAGTGGCTTGGATGGCATCTCCTTGGAGATTTAGTTCCTGAATCTCAAGAGCAGAGCTGATGGGTGAGTCAACAGGATGGTAACTGAGGGAGGTGGGTGTGGCTGCAGAAGTTCACAGTGCTGAAATTCCAGGAGGAACACACCACATTAGATGGGAAGGTCACATAGACGTCAACTCAACTCAACAAACAAGCAGTAGCACAAAAGGCTAAAGTAGCAGCGAACAATTTAGTAAATCTTCAGAGAAGGACTCTGTGAGATATAAAAATTTTCACAAATTTTCTCTACTAAAATATTTTTGATAATTCTTTTAACCATTTAGCTGCAGCAAGCAATATCAAACAAATTATTGTGTGCCTGCTAAGGGATCAGGCTTGGGAAATGGTTGGGAAAATGGGAACAATGGTGGTGGGAAGATCACAGATCACTCAGGTGGTGGGATTGGTGTGGGAACAACCAAAGCCCATAACAACTGTATTAGAAACAACTTGGTAAACCATGGTGCTTAAAGAAAGTATTTATTTTTAAAACTGTGATATCAATAAAACTTAAAATAATCAGGTAAGCACGAAAAAATATTTTTTAGGTTTCTTCCCGGAATTTTGCCTTAAGAAACAAATTAATACAGTGCAGTGGTGAATTTTTATATTTAAAGAAGGATTTAATTAGTCGCAACATCTTTTAGTTTGCAGTTTTCCTAATGTGTTTGCTTGTAGTGCATCCTGAAATGACTGTTCAATATGTGATTATCTGTATAATCATGAGTTAACTCTGTTTATAGATTTTAATAGGGGTCTTTGGTCAAATCTTTAGTTTTAAATATAAAATTTTAAAGGTGTTAGCAGATTAGTTCTTTCCTGGGGCTATGAGAAAGCTATTTTTCCTTCCTATTGCCAGTAATTCTGTTTTCAAGGAGGCTTTCCCGCAGTGCCAATGATTACCCAAGCACCCCTGTGGATCTTGAAGGCAGCTAGGGCTGCACTCAGTGATGCTCTGGGGACCATGATGCTGAGATTGAACTGGAATTGGTAGCAAGTAACTCATAGTCTTAACCCTTGTACTATCTTTTCAGTTTTATTGCTGAACATTCTTAGCATTCTGTTACCTTCTAAAGATTTATATGAGAGTAGAGCATCAGTAGCAGATTCTCATGGTCCTGAAAAATCCTGAAAATTCTGGCACACTGAACTGGCACCCTTAATTGAATGTTGATGACATGACTTAAATTTTCTTTTTGTGATTTCCAAACATTATATATATACACATACACACACATACACACACACACACACACACATATATATATATATATATATATATATATATATATATATATAGTGTTTCTTTCTTCCATGGGATTCAGGGACATAAACTCTGGTTACTTTGTGTGCTCCTAGCTTTGTATAAATGTGGTACTGTAAAAATATTGATATGTCCAAGTAGCTGGAAAACTAGTTGCATGGCATTCTCCATCAGTTTCTGTCTACAGTAGATTCAGATCTTTAATTTGATGACTGGTGCCTCTGACCAATGGTATTCATGCCTCATCCCTTTAGAATGTAACCTAGTGTGGAAGGCTCAACTCTTAGAGGGTGAGGTTCTGAAACAATGATGCAAAAGTCTTTGCAGTTATTTGGGGATATATAGTTTTTCAATGAAAAAGCAAATAAAATTATTTTTTAAAATAGACAAAATTATTTTTTAAAATAGACATGCTATCATGCTGAGTGAAATAAGTCATAAGGAAAGGGACAGACACAGAATGATTGTACTCATCTGCAAATATTTTTTTAAAATGTGAGTAATAGCCAAAGACAATGGAAACAAGGGCGTAGGAGGATTGATCCATGGTAGGCAGCATGCCACCAAGAGGGAGGAGGGAGTGTAGTTAGAACAGGGAAGGGACCACTATGACAATGATAGTTAGAAATGGTCCCTCTGTACCCAAACTGAGTGCCGAAAGGAGATAGAGTGATAGGCATGATACCCTTTAAGTAACAGTATTGCAAACCACAGTGCCTAAAAGGAAAATGAGAGAGAGAGAGAGAGAGAGAGAGAGAGAGAGAGAGAGAGAGAGAGAGAGAGAAAGAGAGAGAGAGCATTGGCGGGGGGAACAGAAAAAAGGGGGTGGGAAACATGTACCAGTGACAAACATGTACAAATTAGAACTTTATACAATGTTCTAATACCCATTAGAACATTGTATAACTGAAGCCCAATAATGAACAACCTTGTAGCTATATATCTCATAGTGATTCAATAAAAATTTTAAAACAATTACAAAAATCTCCAGCTATGCTAGACAAAGTATGTCTGTGAGTTAAATATGGCACAAGGACAAAAGTCTTCAGTTCGTGTCTTAAGAATAAAATAGTGTTAAGCCTATGGGGGACTAATTTCTGTCTCCGTGGGAACTATTCCATCAGCTTCAGGATGACTCAAACAGATCTTGTTGTTTCACGCCACTGCTTTCATATTTCTCTGCGGAGAAAAGGGGTAATTAATTGATGGGTGGAAGTATCAGATAGAAAAAGGGACATGCAGATATTTCAGAGTCATACACTTGTGGTTTGAAACTTTTATTTTGTTATTGAACTGTTTTACATTATCAAGGGAATTACCAAAGTCTCTGAATTCCAGTTTTATCATCTGAGGAGAATAATATACTCCTCTTGGGATTATTGTTTGAACAGAAGAATATTGTGAAGTTTATGTGCATGAGTAAGAATAAGTACTTGGGGTTAAAGTATATATACACCTTGTAGTACAGATAGAAATTCTCTTCTCAAATAAAGGTCATTCTTTAAAAGGGGAACAAATAATAAAAGCTCAGATCTTTGTTTTCTCTGAATTATTCAGATTATTTATAATGCAACAGAAAGGAAGTTGAACCTCACTTTGTTACATAAAAGATTCTCCTTTCCTTCCCTGTCCCTGCTCCCTTGTAAGATTTCATTTATTAGTCATGTGGTGACAAAATTACCACAATTTAAAAAAAACCCACATGATTTTCTCATCTGGATCATGAAGATACTACTCAGTACAATAATGTAATAATAGTTTTCCCTGAAAGGAAAACTATAATGCTAACGTATAGTTAGCCAATAGGTAGTAGACATTGTGTAGTTATCCATCTAATTAATTATTTCAGTTGTATTCATTTAATCCTAGGAACTTATTTTCATCATCATTATATTTTTTTTATTTTGGGTAAAATTCATATAGCATAAAATTAATCATTCTAGAGTATACAATAAGATGAAATTTAATTATTTGCCTATAACTTGTCTCTGGGCACCTCATATATCTACTTAATGCTAAAAATTATTTTTCATCACCTCAAAAGGAAATCTTGGACCATTATGCAGTTCGTTCCCTTTCCCTCAACCCTGAGTCCTTTGTAGCCATTAATCTACTGCTGGTCTCTATGAATCTATTATTCTGAACATGTTCAAGTAAATAGTCACACAAAATGTAAAGTTTTGTGTCTGGTCTTCCTTCTGTTAGCGTGATATTTAGCATAATGTAGCATGTATTTGTATTTCGTGAGTTCTGGGGTTGGAATATATTCTATTGTCTAGATATGCCACACTTTTCTTATTCATCCTCAGTTGATGGACATTTCATGTTGTTTTCATTTTTGGCTGTTTTCAATATGCTGCAGTTCATATTTGTGTACAATATATTTGTTTGAATAGTGTTTTAAGGTTTTTTTTTGGTAAATACCTAAGAATGGACTTGCCAAGTTGTGTGCTGATTCTATATTTCTGAGCAATTACCAAATTATTTTCCATAGTGGCCTTACCAACTTATATGTCTACCAGCAATGTATAAAGATTCTAATTTCCTATATAGAATATATTTAATAATATATTTAATAATATTAATTATTATTTAATTAATATGCAACAATTATTTAATAATTATTACTTAATATTTAATATATTATTGACTTTAATAATAAATATTATTTAATAATTATTACTTAAATATTACTATTATAATCAGTCTCAAAGATGTGAAGTGTTATCTCATTGATTTGTATTCTCTAATAGCTAATCATATGTTGATGATCTCTTCACAAGCTTTCTGGCCATCTGAGTTCTGAGTTACCATGGTCTGAGTTACCATGTATCTCGGAATTAAATGTTTTGAAGTGTACCATCTTTGGGAATGTGTCTGGTTACTTTAATGTGTGACTTTTGTTCTGTATTTCAGATTGGTTTTGTCCTTTATCCTCCCAGTGGAGGTCCTTCCTGGGATCAAACAGACCATGACAACATTATGTTTCTCACCATATGCTTTTGTTGGCATTATGCATTATCAATTATCATTGTTGCGGTGAATTATGCCTTTGTCAGTTGGTAAGTTGGTGATTTTTATTCATGGGAGTTTTTAAATAGTATACTATCAATAAGACTCAATAGTGTTGGTCTTAAAAATAAAGAGGGGGAGAGTTCATTCCTTAGCATTTCACAAGATAGGGTAATGAAGCAGAGGTTTATTGGCAATCAGAGAAACACCTATAAAAAATAAATCCTATTTTAAATTTAGAAGAGCTCTACAGCATCTCTGCAAACCCCTGACCTATATGTCATACGCACTCCTGTATTTCCAGGTTTTTGCTATTTTCTTTTCTGATTGGTCTTCCCTACACTCACTGTGAGCTCCCTGTTACCCACATGCACATCCATTATAATATCACTTTATTTTATTTTGTTTTGGGGCCATATCCAGTAATCTGTGGGAGATAGTTTTGGCTCAGTTCTTGGGGGTTGATCCCTGTTGTGCTTAGGGGTCATTTGGATTAAATTTGTGCCTTTGCATGAAAGCGTGTACTCAGTCCATTGAGCTAACTCTTTGACCCTTTATATCATTTTTTAAACTGACATATAAGTATCCCATTAAGGTTTTTGAGTACCTGATTAATTGAGCATTCAGTTTAATTATTCTAAAAGTAATTTTAAATGAGTAATTATATGTTTTTATAAAGACCTTATACAAGTATTTGAGGAAGAATGCAATAGATTAATAAAAATACATATTTATAGCTCTGCTAATCTATCTGACATTGGTAAAATTAACCACATGCAGTCTCATATTTGTTTTCAAAATTAAAATAATAATTATCCCTAAATGAGGTCATATATTAAACTGCTTAGGTATCTAATAGAATTCAGTAAAAATTATTCTTTTCCTTGTTCTTCTCCTACTTCTATATCAAAATTCCTAAGGTGTATAGACCTATGGGGATAGACAGACAATACAGTATAGTAATAAGTGTAAATAGAACAAAACACTGCTGGAGCTCAGAAGAAGCATTTTCAAAATTGACAATTAAGATATAGCTTGAAGAATGAGTAGTTCCAGAAGGGAAGTAAGCAGAGTTCCTTTCAAAGATCATTTATAGAAAACCACAGTTGTCCTGTATGATCCTAACTTCTAGGCAGGCACCTCAAGTGTTATATTTTAGTTCTAATCTAAGTGTTCTGTGTCAGCTATGTGCTTATGGTGGCCATGAAATATGTGTGGTATTGGAACTGACATGTACCTAATGTCACATTACTTTTAATTCATTTCAGAGAGTCTCTGTGGGCATCACGGAGTACCAGTCTATCAATACTACCAGGCTGGATAGTACACATCAGTAGTTTCTCTAGATTCTTAAAACTCTAGAAAGATCTTATGGCATCTTAGTCTGCCAAAATTAGTTTTGTACTTTTATCTCCCAGGTCACTTCTCCTGTTCTGTGCGTCTTTGCACTTCAACCCTCAAGTACTTCTGGGATGGGTCTCCGAGTGGGGAAACCATTTTCTTGTCTAGATCTCAGATGCCTCTGCTAGGTTTTGGGTCAATCCAGTGTAATCTGTTTTAGCTTCCTTCTAGAAGTCCTTTCAGTGCTGGTGCAATGGATATCTTCTCATTGAGTGATTCCTCTATATCCTATTCTGTTCCTCCAAAGCATGTGCCTGAGCTTATTTTTAAGGTTGGCTCTGCCGTTGAATGAAACATGACTTTTTCCTCTGTTGTTCTAGGCTGACATCTGGGTCTCATCTCCTTTGGGGCTGGGCAGCCTCCAGGATCCATGCCAGCGTTCAAGGAGCCTCTCAACCTCATGTCAGCCCCCTTCCAGAGGCAAAGGAACACTATTGTCTTTTCCTGTTTCAAAAACCTTCAGACACCCAATAAGTCTCTTACTTACTCAGAGTTCTCTAGAAAACAAAAACTGCATTCCTTCTTTTTTCAAATTCATTCTCCTCAACTCCATGTCTTACTCGAAACTTTTAACCCATGTATTTCCCTTTACCTGGCATATCCACATTAAATCCTGCTCACCTGAAAAAATTTAAATGATTATTCTTCTCCCTACTCACATGTTATTTTAACAGCGTTTTAGACTCTAGCACATTTAAAAAATTGTAATCTATTTTGTGATGTTTGGGATGAGCTCATGTTTTATCTGATAACCAAGTGATATTGCCTTGAGGAAAAGATTCTTTTTTTAAAAAAATCAGTATTCGTTTTTGATTTTTTTTGTGGGGGGCTTCCCCAGCAATGCTTGGTGTTCAGGAAACCATTTTACCTGTGCCAGCTATACACACCAGCCCTTTGAACAGTATTCTTGCTTCTCTTTTAATTTTTTCTCAGCTTTTGGCACACAGTTAAGTTATTGAGTAAGTAGCTATTTATTTGTTTTTTAAACAGATATTGCAGGGATTTATTTTAATATTTTCTATTTGTTTGAAATCGTATTTTAGATGCTTATTTTGTTCTCATATTGCACTTGGAAGTAGGCCTTTTGGGATCATTTGGATGCGACTGTTGTGCAGAATTGTTTCAGAATCCCTTCTCTATGGGTAGAAAAATATTGCCTATTTTCAGGTTGGTTTTCTGAGTAGCTATTCATAGGAGCCATTTTTCCCTCTTCTTTCTGTTGTGATGATGAGTAGTTGCACATTCCTAGTTGTGGGCCTTGTACATCTTTAGTTGTACATGAAACACCTGATTGTGAACTAGTTTTTGCACATCCTGTTGTGGTGCTGGGGTTTCAACCAGCAGTACTGCCAAAAGTGGATTCAGTACACATAGGCAGTACCAGGGATGGACTCAAAGTCTCACATTTCCAAGGAAGTACTCCTTGCCACTGAACCATTCCTCATCCACATATGAACCTTTTTGAAGATAAAAATAGATGATCAAATTCTAAGCATATGGAAATTTGCTTTCTAGAAATTTGACTTCTGTATGTGTGGGCTCTGGAAGCACAAGAGACTCAATTCTGCTTCCTCTTTCCCATATTGATTAAAGAAAAAACATAGAAACAGATGCCAGACACACCTAATCTTAGTTCTCAGGACATAGTTTATTTCAGAAATGATATTATTTTCACTTTTTCATTATCATTCCATGTCTTAGTCTGTTCTCACTGACTAGTTCTGCAGATCCAAGACCAAAGACTATAGAGTACAGATAGATCTATACAGATACACTTATGGTATCTGAATATGTTTCTGATTGGTGGCTTATAGATACATCATATCCAACCCAAAGAGAAGGAATGGAAAGCAAGTGGAAGTCATTAGACTGTGCTTATATTAATTTATAATAAGAAGCCAAGTTTTTATTTATTTTTCTTTAGCATCATTAGGAAAGACTAATGAATTACTGAATTAATTCATTTTCTTTTCATACATTGAGATCTTGCATTACTGCAGTAAATATATGGACTTTAAAAAATGACATGATCACTGTCATGGACTTTACCTTATTTAAGAGTATTTCTGTATCATGAAAATGATGCTTTGAAGAGTTGTGGTTATCAGGAACAATGTCAAAGTCATTTAATATTGAAAGTAAATTATATATTTTTATGGGGATCATACACAGCAGTGCTCAGGGATTGTTCCTGGCTCTGCAATTAGGAATCACTCTTAGAGGGGCCCAGGGATGGGGGGACCATATGTAGCACTGGAGATCAAACCCAGGTCAGTTCCATACAGGGCAAATATCCTTTTTAGTGTACTATGTATCTGACCCCCACAAAGCAAATGACTGTGACTGTTTTTCCTTGGATCTTGGTGAGTCAATAGATGCTATGATACTTACATGGAGCATAGTGGAGAACTTAATGCTGAGCTGAAAGTGACTAAAGAATTGACCCTTATAGATAAGTGAGATGAACTCCTGGAATAATGTACTATAAGGCCTTTGACTTATAGGGTGTTGAGCCACTATTAAGTACCAGGCATTGTTTGAGACTGATTTGGATTGCACTGTCTGTAGCACTGTCCTCCCGTTGTTCATCAGTTTGCTCGAGCTGGCACCAATAACGTCTCCATTGTGAGACTTCTTGTTACTGTTTTTGGCATATCGAATACGCCATAGGGAGCTTGCCAGCCTCTGCCATGTGGGCGGGATACTCTTGGTAGCTTGCCGGGCTCTCCAAGAAGGACGGAAATATCAAACCCAGGTCGGCGGCATGCAGGGCAAACGCCCTCGGGCAATAAATAATCTGAGGTGTCTGCTCTGATAAATCTTATAATCTAGTAGTATCCAGAAAACAAGTAAAGATGTTGCATATTAAGCGGGACAGGTGAAATCACCTCTGAAAGAAGAAAGTAGAAAGTAAAGGTAAGGATGCAGAGAGACTGATAAGGTTTTCACAAAAGAAGAATGATTCTGATAAAAATTGGGGTGATTAAGTTTGTTTGCATATTCTTATTGTATTTCTGGATGTTAGCTGTAATTTGTTGGTATGGTTACCACACAAATGCCTTTACAAATAATCATGCCAGGCAAAGCTTCACTCAGTTCTCATGACCTCCTTTTTTCCCGCACATCAGTGAAGTGGAGAAACTGTTGATGGTGTGCCCCAGGAAGCTTCACATCTTTCAGTGTCCAAATTAAATCTCATCTGCACATAAGATTTAGAGCTCATTATATGACAAATACATATTGCTCTGGGGTTATTACTTAACACTGTAATGTAAGATGCCTTTCATTCTCCTCAGGTTGGTTAAAACCCGACTTAAGAGATTCTGCCCCCCGGAAGTGGGACTTCTGAAAAATACAGAACGAGAGCCAGAATCCGAAGAAGAGATGTGATTCTGACGAGCATCTAAGTCTCTCTGGATGAACTTTTTCTGTTTTTGCATTGTTTCGCTCATGGTTTTCTTTTTGACCTTTAACTTGGAGAACAACTGACTGAGAACAGTTCTTGGTGTCCTGTTTGTACTTCCAGTTTCATTCAAGTATTTGTACTCAAATGTTTTATTTTTAGGTTTGAAGAGACTTTGGGTGATAAATTGATTTTGCACATCAGTCATGTTATTTGGGGCCTGAGTGACTCTTCTCAGATCATCTAAGGTTAGATGTCCACAAATATGCATTTATTTTATTGCCTTATAGATAGATATGCTCAAATTGCCTGGGCTGGCTATCATTTGAACTCTGTAAACATGGGATTATTCCTGTTGATCTTCTTGCTGCAGTGAGAAATAAATTAATGCATGACCTTGATTCATGCACTTTAGATATTTGTTTTCGTTATTCATCTGCACCCCACTTTGCAGGAAGAAACAGCTGTGTGACTCATAAGTTCCTTTCTGTATGATAGGGCTGGCTGAAGCACCTGGGTTCTGTCCTGGGAAAAGTAAGCTGAAAGTTGTCCTGAGTTGTACATTCTTTCGGGGAAGATAAAAGGATAAGTCCTCGACTATGTGATTGTAAGCTGAGAGAAACAGGGAAAGGAAGATTGTGAAGGTACCGTAGAATTGTTGAGAGCACAACTCCTCCTGTGTCATCTCCTCTACTCTATGAGTTGAAAGACTGACAAGGGGAAAAACCTCTTGTGTAATACCTGGATTTCAGAGCCCTTAATTTGTAAGCTAAGGGACTCCTTGTACAGTGCCAAGAAATCTTGTCAGTCTTGAGAGCTTTGGCAGTTGAGTCCTTCTCTCCAGAGTAAGGGAATTGAATTGACTAAATCACAGGGCCTCTTCTAATGGTCACATAGAATGAGTCTAGAATTTCTGAGATTTAATGAAAATATGAGGGCAACTAGAGTGGAAGATAGGGGGCAGCCTTTCAGGAAGCTGGAGATTTAACCAAAGTAATCAAATCCCAAAACTATGTGTAACGGGGAGGTCAGTGGGATGGAGGGCAGGGTAGCTCAGTGATAGAGTGTATGTCCTTGTAGGTTTAAGGACACACGTTAGATTCCCAGCACTACCCCCCTCACCTAGAGTGTTCCCCTGGCGTCACTGTCCTTTCAGATCCTTGGACTCTTGAGGAGAGCACAGTTAAATGTGTGAGCACCACAACCAAGTGTGCAACTCTGGGCAACCCAAAAGGTAAGAAGAAAGTACAAAAAATTTCCAAAATTTTTTACTGGCATTCCAGTAACTTTGGCAAATCAATAATCCTGTCTCTGACCATTGTATCACCCAAAGGGAAGGCCAGTACATTCTATAGCTCAAGCCACACACATGTTTGTTTATTTGGAGGGCAGGGGTGTGGCTTCCAAGTGGTGCTCAGGAAAGTCAGGGGCCCCACCATTGATTCTCGGCCAACTGGGCTGTGGATTCAGTGTGCAAGTACCCAAGGATGTAATGCTCCTTAATTCCTGCAGTGCTGGGATACACAGACAGCACTGATTGTGCTCTGGGACCACCAGAGTTGCACCCAGCAATGACTGGAGAAACCATGTGGTATCTGAAATTGAACTTGGTTCAGTCATGCTAGACATGTGCTCAAACCCTGTACTATCTGCTGGCCCAACATTTGTTTATGTAAGAGTTAGAAAAGATGCCTAAAGGGTTATCTTGAAAAGTGCAATGAAATTAATTATCACAATTTGTCTTGTGACTGTGACATCTGCTTCCTGAGAGTCAGATTATCTTGGGGCCTTTCCTAGTGTAGCAGTGTTTTATGGCTGGAAAGTTTGTGTTTGAAAAGAACAGAGCTGCAGTTACATGGGAGTGGTATTGGTGGTAGCTCAGGCTGAGCGGGAACTTTAGAAATGATTAAAATGGACCTTATGAGGGCTGAACTTTTGAAAGTCAACCAGTGCAAATATTCTAGCTATCTTCATGAGAAGATAACAATGACCATTCTCGCATACTCTACACAGAAAGGATGCAAATGAGATGTAACTTAGACTGTTTATAGGAATGGTACCCTTTGTTCAGGTGTATGTTCTTCTGCTCCCTGAAAAGGTAAATACATTTGACCTTAGTGGAACTGGACGCTTTCACCAATGAAAGGGATGGCATCTTTCCTTTGTCCTTTTCTTATTTTTATCTTTTCTCAAGTCTTTCCAAAACCTGGACCTCAGCTTCTTTGCCTTTGCCAAACCCCTTTTGTGAATATGTTTTTACTATGTTATCTTATCCAAATTAATGGAATTCTTTAAATAACACAGCACAATACCTATATTGGCTATTTTTTCCAGCTCTTAGATTTCACTTTAAATTTATTTTAGTAGCTGAAACTTTATCTCAAAAAATCTAAATCAGGGCACTTCGAAAACCAGGAGCTTGGATTCCCAGTAATCACAGAAATTCAGTCACTGATCCCAGATCCAAAGTCCAAACATTCTGCTCCTGACTCTGCTCTTTCTTTCTTTCTTTCTTTCTTTCTTTCTTTCTTTCTTTCTTTCTTTCTTTCTTTCTTTCTTTTTTTCTTTCTTTCTTTCTTTCTTTCTTTCTTTCTTTCTTTCTTTCTTTTTCTTCCTTCCTTCCTTCCTTCCTTCCTTCCTTCCTTCCTTCCTTCCTTCCTTCCTTCCTTCCTTCCTTTCTTTCATTTTGTTTTCTTGTTGCTGGGGACCAAATCCAGGTCAGTCACATGCACATGCAAGAAAAACACTTAGCTCCCATATTGTCTCTCTAGCCCCGAGTAGATTTGTTTTGAGGGAGGTCGGGGGTTTCCAGTCATACAATATTCCAACACCGGCTCTTCAACTTCACCAGTGCACATTTCCCACCACCAGTGTCCTCAGTTTCCTTCCTGCCCCCTTCTCCTTCTCTTTCTCCCTCCCTTCCCTCTCCCCATCTATGGCAGGGCTGGCACTTTCCTTCTCTCTCTCTTTTTCCTTTTGGGCATTACTACATTGACTATAGATATGATAATATTTCCTCAGTGGTTTTTGTAATCTCTAATCTCCTATTTTGGGAAACTTCAGTCTCTGATTGCACTAACTTCAGATCATTGCTGAAATAGGGTGGGTCATGACCACCTTGAAGTTACACTTCCTTATGACTCTGTCTAGATCTTATTTATCAAGGCTACATTGATCGTATCTTGGGTGTAGGAGGTGGTGGAGGAGTCACTGTGTATTACAAGGACAATAAAATTTAAATCTAAGGCATTTTTCCAGAAATGCAGTCAAAAGATACAAATTTTGAAAGAAAAGCTTATATGTATGAAAAATAGGACTAGCGTGATAGTGCAGCAGGTGGGGCACTTGCCTTGCACATGGACCACCTAGATTCAACCCCCACACCCCACGTATTCCCCCAATCCTGCTGGGAGTGACTTCTAAGTGCAGAGCCAGGAGTGAGCTCTGAGCACTGCTGGGTGTGGCCCCCAATTTAAAAAAATAAATAAAAAAAAGAAAATTAGAAGACAGAATCTCTGTCTTCTCTACAATAAACTACAGATGGAAAAAATGAGAGAAGAGACGCTGAAAGTAACTAAGGAGAGTGGTGGAGGTTCTTCGGCACTTTGATGGTGGTAAAGCACAGTAAATCTGTATATCAACACCATGAAAGTTTAAACACTATTGTAACCATGTACCTAAAATGCATAAAATAAAATTCCAAGTCCTTTCTCTTGACAGTGTCCTGCAAAGGAATAATCTGCATTCAGAGTCGCAAATGGGGCAGCTTGAAAAAGTCCTGTAAAAAACAACTTGGCGAAAGCAAGCCACACCTATTTCATTTCTGGAACTCCCCACATCCTGCATTCCAGAATTTCCCTGGATTCCTTTCTTTTACTTTATGGAGTTCCCGTTACTCTCTTTTCCTCCTATCATATTTTTCAAAACAACTATATTGCTTCATTAAAAAGCTATCACTCGATAAATGGCAACATAGAGAAGGTTTTGGATTAATCTTGGGAGAGGTACTTTGCATAGGCATGAATAGCTCTGTGACTTAGAATGCTTGCCTTGTAAATGTAAGGTATTGATTTCTTCTCTCCATTTCTTGATGGAGTTGATTTTTTTCTTGTAAATTTATATTTTTTCCTTTTTTGGGTCACACCTGCCAATGCACAGGGGTTACTCCTGGCTCTGCACTCAGGAATTAATCCTGGCAGTACTCAGGGGACCATATGGGATGTTGTGAATCGAACCCACGTTGGCCGCTTGCAAGGCAAATGCCTTACCTGCAGTGCTATCGCTTCAGCTCCCATTTCTTGTAAATTTCTACCAGTGCCTTATATATCTTGGATATTAACCTCTTATCTGATGGGTATTGGGTAAATAAATTTTCCCATTTTGTGGGCTGTTTCTTTATCTTGGTCATCATTTCTTTCTTTTTTAAAAAAAAATTTTATTGAATCGCCGTGAGAAAGTTACAGGCTTTCATGTTTGGGTTACAATCACACAATGATCAAACACCCATCCCTCCACCAGTGCACATTCCCCACCATCAATATCCCCTGTATAGCCCCTTCCCCACCCTCCTCCTGCCTCCATGGCAGACAATATTCCCCATAGTCTCTCTCTACTTTGGGGCATTATGGTTTGCAATACAGACATTGAGAAGTCATCATGTTTGATCCATTATCTACTTTCAGCACACACCTCCCATCCCGACTGATTCCTCCAGCCATCATTTTCTTAGTGATCCCTTCTCTATTCCTTCTGCCTTCTCCTCTCCACTCATGAGGCAGGCTTCCAGCTACGAGGTAATCCTCCTGGCTCTTGTATCTACTGTCCTTGTATGTCAACCTCATGTTATGTTGTTTTATATTCCACAAATAAGTGCAGTCCTTCTATGTCTATCTCTTTCGGACTCATTTCATTTAGCATGATATTCTCCATGTCTATCCATTTATAAGCAAATTTCATGACTTCATTTCTCCTAACAGCTGCATAATATTCCATTGTGTAGATGTACCAAAGTTTCTTTAACCAGTCGTCTGTTCTAGGGCACTTGGGTTGTTTCCAGATTTTGGCTATTGTGAACAGTGCTGCAATGAACATAGAGGTATTCTGACCTCTGTCTAATGCCAGGCACAAATGTCAGATCAAAGTGGATTAAAGACCTCAATATCAGACATGAATCCATAAGGTACATAGAGGAAAATGTAGGCAGAACTGTCCATGAAGTTGAAGCTAAAAGCATCTTTAAGGATGGAAAAACACTGACCATGCAAGTGGAAGCAAACATAAACAAATGGGACTACATCAAACTAAGAAGCTTCTGCACTTCAAAAGGAACAGTGACCAAAACACAGAAAGAGCCCACAGAATGGGAAAGAATATTTACCCGATACCCAT